TCACCCCCACCTCCGCCAGCAGGCTGTCTGGGGACGGGGCTGCCCCGGCGGGCAGTTTGGTGGTGAGGCCGTTCTAAGCCAGCCAGGTCGGTCACAGGGCGCTGAGCACGCAGTGCTCTGCTCCCTGGGTCCTCACGGAGCAGAGTCAGTCAGGCCTCCGCTCCACGGGCGCTGTGTTTGGAGCAGAGGGCCCTGGGTTTCCCTCAGCATCGCGCAGGCCCCTCTGGACGTGCGGCTTGATGGTCTGGGATGCCCGTCCCGGGGAGGCGCTCGGGCTCCCCAGAGGATATCTGCCAGCTTGCAACTTCAGAGTGTTTTTCAGTGGTGTAGTGAGGACAGCACTAATGTACATTCAGAAAGAAAAATCAGTTTGCGTGGGATCATCCTGGATTTCCACCGGGACCTGAATTTCATTCGTTACACCGCTAGCAAAAGGAAGGGCGGCACCAAAGGCCTACCGCGATACCGGTCCCTGCAGAGTGAATGAGCAAGGGAGACTCCGTTAAAGGTGCTTTCTCTGTTGTGTGTGCTTAGACTATTGGTGTCATTTATTGTTCTGATTACGTCTGCAAGCTACAGGGTGCAAATTCTATGCATTAGCTTTATTTCTTTCCTGGTCACATTGTAAAGAAGAACTGAACACAATAGGATATTCCCATCTTAACTGCAGGAGGACAAGCCATGCATGAATGTCATAATCCAATCCTCCACAAAGGTGCACTGCACAGGTGCACCCCCACCTTTCTTTTTGTATACTACTGAATGAGCAAAAAATGGCAACGTTGTGCGCGCGACGCATTGTCCTTCTCTACCTGATTAAAACTCAGCAGCTCTGAGAAGCGGCATAAGCTGTCCCTTTCCATCTGGCAGCTTTGAGGAGAGAAGAGGGAAAAATGGTAGTGTGTACAGAGCCCGAGCTTTACACTGACGAAAGCGTCTCGTGCAACTGTCGTGTTCTGCGGAGACACACGAGCGCTCTCCTGCTGGAGTGGAAAAGCTGTCCCTCCGGCCGGACACCTTGTCACTAGCACTAGTCTGTCTTGGCTATCTCCAAGTTGGGTATAAAACCCCCATGACTCATCCAGGCACTCAGAAGTATCCATGGAATCGCATTCCTGCCCGACAGCTGCCAGCAGTCCTTTCTCCCCACTACTTGTGACCAGCTCGCGCCAGCATGGAGTTGCTGACATCGCGCTGTCCTTTCGCGTGAAGATAACCCCGTGCAGGCCTGCATTAACCTAACTGTGGTAACGCCCTGCCCCAGAGCGATCCGCGGGGCTGTGTTACGTACTCTTCCTTCAAGCCCTGTGCTGGTGCAGTACATACAGCAGCATCGACGGGACACGCCGGAGACTCCTCTAACCAGCACGTAAACACTTTTTAGAAGACAAAAATCTCGCATGAGCCTGCGCTTCTTCGTTCTGTATTTTTTAGGGGGCACGGCCCTGACTCCTCCCGCCGGCTGGGGACCCCGGGGGGGATCTGACGAGGGGGGATTCAAGCAGGTGGCTGCTGGCGGGGGCCGGGGCCGGCAGCCCAGGCCGGCTTTCCCCGGTGGGAAGGGAAGGGAAGCGGAGCGGAGCGGCGGCCCCAGCAGAGGGCAGCCGGCGGCGGCCGCGGACCCGGGGCCGGCACGTCCCGGCCTCTCCTCCGCCGTCACCCCGCGAGGCAGGGACGTAATTCATCCTTAGCGTCGTTGGGGAACAAGCAGCAGAAGCCAGAGGGATGGTCTCTCTCTGCCCGCGTAAATCGCAGCCGCTTACAGCAGAAAAGGAGCTAAGGAGAAGGTGGTTATTTTTTGCACGAGTTTCCCGCTGTCCTGGGAAGGGCTCCTTCCCTCTGCACGGCTGGGAGTGAGCAACCTCAAAGGCAAAACCAGCCTCTCAACAGTACACTGCATTAAGGAGAATCCAGCCCAGGATTTACTGGGGACTGCCACAAGTGAAAATTCCTCCCAATTAACAAATTACTCAAAGAGACTGTGAGCATCCATGATGCAGGAGAGGTAAAGCCTTAGTGCAACCCTCTCGTACCCAGGATGTCTCCCAGCTGCAGCACCCAGAGCAGCTTCTTGCTTCAGCTAAATGCTGTCACCATCCCCAGCCATGGCAGCTTGTCTGGAACTGCCTCGATGGTGATGAGATGGAAGAGCAGTGCTGATGCTGCCGTTGTTAACGAAGCACTGCTCACAGTTCGTATGTTAGGCCTCTTCCTTTATCTGTAGGTGGATGCAGTGATCTGTTTCTCAGCATGGCACAAAGGGACATGCAATTGGTGTTTCAGGGTGTGGGGGAAGGGGTAAACCTGGTAGCAGGGATAACGAGGATTCATGGGGTTCCTCTTACAAGTTGGCTGGCTGTGTGACCTAGGTCAAGCAGTGTTTCATAGTTTTGAGATCTGTAGCTGGGGCACAAGAAAAACAGCATTTAATCTAATCTATCTGGGTATTTTTGCCCAACATCATAGCACACAGGCAAGCATATTAAACTGTGGTGTCTTAGATAAAGCAGCCTATCCGCCAGGGATGAGAACTGTGGACCTCTCCTTGCATCAGATCTCTGGGACAAAATTTATGAGATCTGTGAACTCTCCCTATATCCATGCCCTCAAAGAAAGCTTTAGGTAGTTCACACAGTTCGGGTCAGTAGGAGACTCAGGAAGGGAGAAACCTTACCTGTTTGCTGCTGCTTTTGAAGACGCAGTTCTCACGATGGGATAGATGCTTAGGCTGTGGGGGGAAGCAAACTTGTAAACCTTAGGGAGGAAGTTTATTTCAGGAAAAATAAATTAAAAAAAATTGCTTAGAAAGTTATTTGGATCAAAATGACAATCAAAGCAATGTTTTTTAATGTTACTGTCCTACGTTACAATCCCCCTGAAACCCATTCCTTTGATTGACCAGGGAGATGAGGATACTTAATTGTAATTTCAATTTGTGAAGGACCATCTTTCCAGAGTCACACTTTCTATCACAGATGATCAGAGCCAGAGCTCAGTCCTTTTTTTTGTCAGTGTTTGCCACCACTGCCTTTCAGGTTTCCTCCTTTCTCAGCCCCTGTTCTCCACTCCCCCTCCTGTCGCCGCTATCACAAGAGCTGTAAACCAGCACCTCTTTCCATGGAAATTCTGATATCACAGGGAAAAAGTTACCCTCTGCTACAGCTGCCTACAAAGAGTTCATGGACGTTGCAATTGGCTGACAAAACCAAGTTGTTCCATAAAAGTGGGGTGAATGAAGTCTGGTTTCATGGGTGCTTTCTGCTCCTTAAAGCTATCACTAAAAAACACCGTTGTGCAGTTCCTGTATGATCCTTCTGTCTTGCAAGGGATGGTGTAGCTGGCAGTCTGGTGCTCACCGTGCAGAATACACAGCAGTGGAGTCCTGCCTGCATTTTCCTCGGGGATGGCATTCATTTGGGTCCCTGTCCACCCAGCTTGTGATTTTCATGAAGTCTGTAGAAATGCAATTACCGTTGAGGGGCGATTCCTGTATTCTGTTTTACAGCTCTGCGGAGATGTGAGTTTTTTCCGTTCCTCAGCAGTGGAGAGCAGCTTTCTACCTTTGTTCATGCTTTTGCCTGATACCAGCCCTGGTATAACCTGCCCATCTCCAGTGCTCGGGAACAGGTCAGCTGCTGGAGAGGCAGAAAAAGCCAGAGTATATCATAAACCATGTTTCATACAGCATTGTTGGCTTTTGCATGTTTGACAAGATTTCTTCCTTAGACAACATGTATAGCTTTTTCCTACAGAATGATTTGAGATACAAGCCCCTGATCATGAGGATTTGGGGTGGGGGCAATCACTGTGGCTGGGAAGAGGGGAAGGTTCATTTTCCTCTCTCGAGGTTTTCCACCTCCAGCTCCTGTATCGTTGTTAAAAGACAGAGACTGTACGGAGGAGACATAGTTGGCAGTTTTCTCTTCCTTGTCCTGACAACCTCTGGCTGCAAAATTAAAAGCCAGTTACTGAGTCTAGTTTCTAACAGCTTTGCCCTTGCCAATGATTAGATAGAGAAACCTGGAATAGGTGGCTGTGGCCAGGCACTGTATGTGCTGAAGCGCAGACAGAATTACCATGGGGACCGTTGCAGAGGGTGAACCTACATATTCACGCACTCCCACTGCCTCTCTCATGCACACATGCGCACACACATTCAGATTGCTAGCAACAAAATGGTTGAACTCTGGCCATTTTAACTGAAAAACTGGAGTGTTCTAGCAACAGTGCTGGGTTTCCTGATAGACTAGGTCACAGAGCATTGAAGAGGGACTATGATTTTCCAATGCCTGTGTGTATTGGGTTTGGGAATAGGGTAAGGAGCTCAATGTGTTTGGGGAAAAATCAGATGTCAAAACTGTAATAGTAAATTACAAGCTGTATCAGTAATTTGGGAGTGGTGTCTGGGAGCAGAGGCTGCCTGGGATGGTTCTGAAATTGCAGATAATGCTTTCAGCATAAAGGCTCAGATGTCCATCTAAAGACAATGAACAGATATCTGAACTCTCGGTGCTCCAAGATGTCCCTCATTACCAGTTCTGCAGAGCTCAGTGCTGGGAAGGATTTGGGGCAGAGAAAGAGAGACAAATCTCCTCTTCTGAAATGAGGAATCAGGGTACTGTGAAAGAAAGTCCAGGTTAACCCCAAGAGATTGGACAAAGCTCAGTAGGTATGCAGGCTTTCCCTTCTCTGAATGGAATTTCCCCTCTGTAAATCCAACCTATTTATATATAAAAAAGGTTAAAATTAAATTTAAAGATTGGTCTTCTAATATTCATGTAGGAGAAGCCCCCTAGGAATCTTGCCATGCCATCAAAAAATAAAGGGAAACCATTTCAGGGCCTTACTGAAGTTGCACTTTGAATTTTGTTACCCAGCCTAGCATGCTCAAAATGGGCATCTGACAGATGTGTATTTTTTTTCCAGGGAAAGTAACATCAGTGCTAGGTTTCTTCACCACCTCCTTCCATTTCCTCTGCAGGAAAGGCTTTCTGGGTTGGAAAGGGACTTACAGGAGGTGGAGAAGACCGTGAATGGGGCACACTTCTGCTCCAGCAATTCTGTGTCCCTGTAAAATGCCGCTGAAGCTAGAGTTGATAGCAAGACAGCCGTAGCTTGTGCAACACAGAAAACAGCTGCTCCTGGGTAGGAGCTGTAGAAGCTGCCTCCCTTTCTCCCTGCGCTGGGACCTCCAGCAGTACAGACCCAAATCTGGTTTGCTGTTATTAGCAGGTGAGCTTTTTCCCTGGTGTGTTTGCAACCTAGATATTGCCCTGATACGTCTGTGCATGAGAACTATAACGTGTGATTTAGTACGAGCTGACTATAAACCAAGGTGAATCCGGCAGCAGTGTCAATGAGACTAAATTTGCTCTTCTCCGTTAGGAGCATACAAGCAATGCCTGCTGGCTTTTGGGCCAAGTTTGCCTACTTTTTGTAGTGTTGTATCATTTTGCAGAAGCTCAGATCCTGCTCCTTTCACATGGTAGGATGGAGCTGTGTTCAGGAATACAACCCTAGTCCTCTGCACCGTGGCGGTAACTACACAGCAGTGCAGAAACCTCTGAAATAGAGAAAATGTGTGCGTGAGAGTGTGGTCCATTTGGCGTCACCAGTTCCAAGCTCGCTGTTTAATCTTTGCATCAAACCTTGAACTAGTTAATGCAGTATTCACCGTGTGCTTGGATGGATCGGGGTCAGCGCTGCGGTGAGCTTTCTTTGGCAGCCAGAGGAAGTGCCAGAGTTTTTAGATCCTGTAGATTTACAGAATGAACAGCTTGGCTACACAGGTGGCAAATTATTGAAAGAGTTGAGAAGTCAGAGGAATGTTCCCCAGCCCATAATTCTCTCCCGAAGAATGTGCACCATGCACCCAGCCTGCCAACCTTTCAGAGGATCCAGAGCCCTGGAAGAAAATGTGTATTCCCTGCACGTTTGCCATTTGTGCTGGGCAACATATTATCCATGGAACATATGCTGTACATATGACAAACTTTCTGAATCGGCCTCAACTCAGACTAAGGCCCCAATCCTGCCAATGTGCTAATGGTAATGATTCCAGTACAACAGGTTTACTCTTGAGGTTCAGTTTTTATGTATTGCTTGCAAGACTGGGCTCTCTAGCATTATAAATACTACTGGCGCAAAACACTATATTGTAATTTATATATTGGTTTATTCTATACATAAA